CCGGTCATGGGACTGAGGGACACGGACAGCGATGATAAAGAAATCGCCAAGACGATCAAACTTGACCGGAGCCGTAGAAACCTGTTCCGACCGCGCGGCGAGTTAGAAACGGACGAGAAATATGAAGAACGCACCGAGCACCAGAAACGATGGGTCGCGTGCGAGGTCCTTGCGGTACGGTCGGCTGAGCGGGTCGCGACTGCGATCCCAGACGCCACATACGCTGTAGGGCCCTGCCCTATGTTTTCGCGTTCGGAGCTAGATTAGGGTTTGATTAGTCAGCCATGTACTTAGCACAGCGGCCGCCTCTGGGCCTTCCCTCAGATTTGACCACCACCTTCACCCTTCATAGCTCATTTCTCCGTGTGTTTGCCACCTTTTCTTGTGTTCTGCTCGTTCTGCTCGACGTCTAGAGTCACCTAGACCGTCCGTTCTGTCGCCTTCGGCTCCAGAGCCTGAGCCCAGCACCCTTGACCCACCTGCACTCCTGGGTTTGTCCTGTGGATTCTCCACTTTTGGGCACCTGCCTGGGCACGACCTCACATTCTGGTGACCACCGCAGGGGGTTCTTGTGGTTGACTGTGGTCTCCAGGTCTTTTGGATGCCAGTTCGTCGGCCTCGACCTCCTCCAGATCTGCAGTCAGAGGTACATCCACACGTTCATCGTGCCATCCATCCCCTTCCCGCCGTCCGTTCGCCTCGATCCTGGTATCATTCGATCCGTCTCGTCAAGACCTTTCGATCGAGGACTTTCTCGCGTCGATACGCCCCGAACTCATCGCACAGTCGTCCGAGGACACGAAGAGCTGCCCAGGGAGACCAGGAGAGCGAAGACTCGGCCACATCTCCGTCGGTTTTCGTCGTACGCACTTCGTTCCTTTCGCGCTCGAAAGCCCTTGCGTCCCCCGTCATATCGCGGCCAACACGCCCGATTTCCGCCGCCGGACGCCCCAGGCCGTTTCGCTCGAAGACGCCGTCCTCCTCCTCCCCATCAAGGCATCTCCCGCCCCGTTGGTCCGCGACGCCGCCGCCGATTTCCGCACGGCTGGGCTCGTTTCGTGCGTGTCGTCCGTGGCTTTCCAGCGCGCCCCTCCGCGTCGTGACGCGTGCCGTCGTCGTCGACCTACGTCGCGATCGCTGCCGCCCTCGACTTGGACAGCGCTCTCCAGCCTCAGGCTTCGACTTCGCGCCGATCCCGGCTTCTTTCGCCACGCGAGCGCCGCCGCCTCGAAGCTGTCGTCATAGGTTTCTTGGCGATTGCTTCCGCGTCGCAATCGGAGCCCGTGCGCTTCCTCGACGTCGCCCTGACCCTTCGCGCCCGCCCACGGACTCCTCCGGCCGACTGTCGCCCTGCCCTTCCCCGAGTTCTCCACCGTTCGACGCCCGTCCGGGTTTGTTTTGTGCGCATTTTCCCCCTCTTTTCGACGAGCCGCCCCGTTCCGCGATCTGCCCTGTTGTTGTTCCGCTGCGCGTCGTCTTGTGCGACAGAAGAGCGCTCGTCATGTCGCCGACTTGATGCTCCCGTCTTTCGACGGTTCGGAGCTCGTTTGCGACACGGCTGGGTTCCCTCTCTTCCCCTCGTCAAGAGCTTTCCGACGCATCCTCATGCACGCCGGTACGCTCACCGTATCGTCCACGACCGCCGCCGCATCATTGCCTCCACGCTATCTGCCCCTTCCTCGACCCTCGCGATTTTGAGCACCGCGGCCCCATCTCCAGTCCGTTCCGCCCGCGATTTGGCACGCGAGCTCCCCTCGTTACCCCTCATTGAACGCGCCCTCGCCGCCGCCAAGAAACGCAGCCGTTCACTCGCCGCAGTCGCTGCCATCTCCTTGCCGCCTCTGGTCACCCTCAGACCCGGACTCGACGCGCCGCCTCCCCAGTTCCGCTACGATCGCGCTGCAAGTTAGAGCGTTGATAGCCCTCGTCACCCCCTTTCGAACTCGCCCGCCACCGTCTCGCCCGCCGCACTCGTTCGCTCGCTGTGCGCTGTGCAAGAGCGCCCGCGGTCAGCCCCTCTTTCCCTCCTTCCGGTGCTCGATCTCGCCCGCCCCGCCTCTGTAGAAGACGCCACCAGATCGGTTCGATGCGCGTCGTTGAGACCTTCCGAACGAGGCCTTGGACGCAACAATTGGAGGAGATCTGCGTCGCTGACGACACAATCTGCGTTGTCCCTCTCGCCGCCCCGCTGCCTCCCGCGTACGCCCCCGCATCTCGCCCGTCCCACGTCCGCTTGTCGCGCGATTTGGCGCATAGGTGTGCATCGAACACGTCATTCGAACGCCGCCTCGCGCGTCACGATGCGTGGTCTCCTGGACGTCCGGCAAGGTGTTCTCCGCCCCGCCCTCTACGCTCTCCCCTCGTGCTGCCGACTTTGCCGCTCCGTACCGCCGCCGCCGTCGATCTCGCCTGTTCGACGTAAGGTTTGGACGCCAGACAGCCCTCGTTGCCCCCACTCGATCGTGCTCAACGGCGCCTTACCCGCCTCGCTCGTTCGGTCGTTGTGTGCTGTGCAAGAGCGCCTGCCGCTGGCGCCCCTTCCTCCTCTGTTCAGTGCGCGATCTCGCCCGTCCCGCCGCCGTAGAAGACGCGGCCGGGCTCGTTCGGTGCGCGTCGTCAAGGCCGTTCGAACGCGCGCTTGGCCGTAGGATTTGGAGGAGATTTGGTTGGGTGGTGCTTGGATTTTCGTAAGTCCGCTTTGCCTTGCCCCCGCCTCTTGCGTCCCCCAGTCTCGCCCTCGCATCTCGCCCGTTCCGCATCCATTTGGCACGCGATTTGGCACGCTCGTGCGCTTCGATCTCCCCGTTCGAACGCCCCCTTCCGCGTTGCGATCTGCGCACCCCCCGATCTTCGGTGCGGCCGTCTCTGCTGCGGCCGCCACGCTTTCTCCCCTGCACATCGTCGACTTCACCACGCCTCCCACGGACTCGATACGCTATCCCCAAATCCATTACGTACTCGTCGACTTCCTGCTAGTTTCCCTTTCACCCCTATCGCTTACAGCCGCCCCCTTTCTCTTTCTGAAGGCTTATCGCTTATCGATCACGCTCGCTCGCTCGAAAGGAATCCCGGACCTCTACGATATCGCTCGAAAGGATTTACGGACCTCTACGATATCTCGCGCGCTCATTTACTTTACGATACTCTCGCGTTTTGCCTAGCAGTTGACCGAGGACGGTCAAGATTTCAGTTGGGGGGAGATGTAGGGCCCTGCCCTATGTTTTCGCGTTCGGAGCTAGATTAGGGTTTGATTAGTCAGCCATGTACTTAGCACAGCGGCCGCCTCTGGGCCTTCCCTCAGATTTGACCACCACCTTCACCCTTCATAGCTCATTTCTCCGTGTGTTTGCCACCTTTTCTTGTGTTCTGCTCGTTCTGCTCGACGTCTAGAGTCACCTAGACCGTCCGTTCTGTCGCCTTCGGCTCCAGAGCCTGAGCCCAGCACCCTTGACCCACCTGCACTCCTGGGTTTGTCCTGTGGATTCTCCACTTTTGGGCACCTGCCTGGGCACGACCTCACAACGCGCCACCGCACTACGGAAACGTAGCAACTGGTGGTGGCGCACCAGATCCTGGATCAGACCCGTCAACGACGAATTCGTCATACAACACGCCGACGGCAGGCTCAAACAAGACCATACCACGATCACGTCGTACCTCGGCAACCAACACAAACGAATTACCAACTGAGAGCTTGTACCAGGCTCTATTGCACCACCCCAGGCCCAACTATGGGACTGTCGTAGCGCAAGATCAGGGCACGCAGCCAACGGTAATACAACCTGTGAAGCAACCAGTCACCTATGGCGGCCCCAATACGCAATATGCAAACACACCACCTATCATGACACCCACGGTGGAGCAAACCTACAGGAACGTACCGGTAGCACACGCGTCCGGCACGTGCCGTAGCGCGCCCCCGCCACGAGCTGCAAACACACCCCGGCCACCAACGATGTACCACTCAGCAGTGAGGGACACACGCGGAACAAACGCAGTGCCAACACGACAGCCGCCGGCAAGTGTTCGAAGTGAGAGCGCCCCGTACGCACGGGATGCGCTATACTACGAGGACGACGAAGACGATCCGTTCAGTTACCCGGGAGACGAGAAAGATGCGAACACCCGATACCTCACCGAGCAGATCCTGTATATTCGGGATCTAGTTGGCGAAGCGTTGAGGGCGCCACCCCCTGATGCACCGGGGATGAAGAACTGGAAAGGCATTTCAGTGACAGTCAAATACGGAGGACAAGATGATGCGAAGCTGTTCGTACGCTTTGTGAAAGATCTGCTCCGTGTCTTGTTCCTGAACAGAACGCTCGACGAAAGCGCGGTCGAGTACCATGTACCGCTACTTGGTCAATACCTTGAGGAGGATGCACGCGACTGGTTCGACCGGACGATCAATGACATCCGGGCGACTAACTACGGCTGTACGCTGGAACAAGCACTGTGTCTGATGTTCAAGAGATTTGTACACCGATCACCAGCCATCCAGGCCGCAGCTGAGTTCGACCGACTGCGTTATGACCGAAGGAGGGGAGTGGAAGCAATGTACGAAGAAATGATGCAACTCTCCCGCGAGATGCCGTGCCCTCCGGACAAATACACGTTCAGTCACAAATTGATGAACAAGCTGCCAAGGGAGATGTCTGACGCGCTCGTGCGTCACTACAACGTTCACGTCGGGGTATCAAGCCCGGCCGAGATCAAGCGGGCCGCCGTGCAGGAAGAAAACAAAATGATCGCGATTTCGGAGCACCAGCGCGAGCGCTGGCCATGCGAGAATGCGCGTGACGACGCCAGGGCTCGAGGACACACCACCCCCAATATGGACGATACCAGGGTTACAAAGAGGCCCATCAGGAACATAGACAACGTTCCCCGAGACGCGACGCGCCGTGCGAGCATTGGGCACGACCGCGGCACGAACCCTACCGCCGCAACGATGCACCCGAGAAATCACGAGACAAGCCCCGGGAAGGGGACCGCGTCAGGCCAGGTGGATACCGGCGGGAGGACCAACCCCGTGAACAGCGCGGGAACAGTGCGAAGCCAGAATTCACGCGCGATCGCGGCCGTGAACAGCACAAGCCCGACTACGGCGTCAACCGTAACCGCGACGAGCAGAAGCCTGCATATGGCACGAAGCTAGATGGTGCCCGTTCCGGGAACTGCCATACGTGTGGAAAACCGGGGCACTGGAGCAAGGACTGCCCCAGAAGTCGCGCCCTAGATTGCAGGCAGCGCGCGTGGGCAACGAGGACCAGGCTGACGAGGATCCGCAAGATCGCGACAACCGGGGAGCCAGGTCGCGTAGCCCGTCCCCAGCGGAGCATGGATACCAAGATGACTATGACGCGCGGGACACTGATAACGAGTCGAACCATAGCTCGTTCGTATGCGTGCCAAGCGAGAGGTCAGGGAGCGATGACGCTCCCTGGTCCCCCGAGGACGAATACGCTGAGGCGGAACAATGGGGAGGAAGTCAGTATGACAGCGAGCGTAGCAACGACTCGTCACCGCGGTTCGCTGGCATGCGACTATACTCCCTGAGGGATACGGCAGAGGGCCCCGAAGAAGAACACGAGACTCCTCGACCAGAGGAAGACGCACCTCGCGTGTTCGGCCGCGTCGACTACGCGGACGATGTAATATGGCACACATCAGCTGGAATAGTGCACAGCGCCGCCGCATGGACGGGACCAACATGCCGCCCACGTTCGCGGAGGCGCGAGCTGCGAACACGGCTACACCTGGCGAGAGTGAGGACGAGGCCATGTCAGAAGATAGTGAAGGACCACCACCACTCGAAGACTGCCCACGAGAGACAATGTCGGATGACTGTCATGTCGGAGCCATCACCTATGCCACTGCAAGTCAATTTCCAACTGCCAGATGGAGCATACGCACCAGAACATTACAGCGCGCGATGGCAACAAGTGGTAGATGAGGGCGGTGACACCCGGGTGGCATTCGACGAGATCCGGCATGCGTACGAGGAGGTAGCCATGATCGCCGCCCAAGAACAGCGAGACCGGCTGCGAATGCAAGCTCGGCTCGTAGAGGCAGAAGCTAGGGCAGGACAAGCAGAATACCTGCTGCGCCATGCACAAGGATCAGCGACGTACGGGTACTCAATGCTGGAAGAGACACTCGCCCGGGAACGCGCATGGATCAGTGGCCAACAGGCAGACAGCACTGTAGAACACGTCCGACAGTCCCGACGAATGCTCTTGAACAACTTGAGAGTACGGTACTACCCCCTGCAAGCGAACGACATGAGCGACGATGAGTACGAAGCGGCGGAGATCAACTTCCCTGCACAAGTACATGTCGCTGTTGAGGAACTCATGCAAGAACTGAGTGCCAATATGTCGCCACCGGAACACCTGGGAGAAGACATTCGTGCGCCCGGCAACGATGATCAAACAGAGGGAGGTGGAACGGGATCGCAGGACGTCACTATGCACGCCGCTCGGATCGAGGATGGAGGCCAACAGGACCTGGTCACCAGGGCGCGCACGGGACATCGCCCGTCGCTTCCCCGTCTGTCAACAACGTGTCTGACTGCGTACGTAAGAATCGGTGCGCTTGATGCACTGGTACTATTTGACTCCGGATCCACAACGGACTCGATCACACCCGACTTCGCACGTGCAGCTGAGGTCAAGACTTACGGACTGGATAATCCAGTCACACTTCAGCTGGGATGCGTCGGAAGCCGCTCACGAATAATTCACGGGGCGAAGGTACCCGTCCAACTGGGCAGCACGCAGTCCGAGGTTTATGTCGACATCGTAAACTTAGACCGGTATGACGCTATTCTGGGAACACCATACATGCGGGCACACAACGTGAAGCTCGACTTCGGTGCAGGAACCATTGAGGTTGGAAACGACCGCATTCACGCACTGGAACCACGCGAGGAAGATCGCGCCGCTCGCCGCCGTGACCGCCGGGTCCCTCCGGGCCCTCCGCGAGCGCACGCGCCGACGCGCGCGGACGATTGACTAGAAGACGGCGAGCTACCAGGAAAGACGGCGCGCGTCGACCTACGTAGCAACAAGATCGTGCCGACGCCGAAACATCCGACTGAAGCCGATCTCGAGAAAATACGCGCAATATTTCTGAAAGAATACGACGACCTTATGCAACCAGTCCCGCCCGAACTGCCTCCGTTTCGTGAAGTGAACCACACCATCCCTTTAATAAACCCTGATATGCAATACAAGTACTACCATATGCCTCGATGCCCCAAAGCGCTTCGCCCGTTACTTACTGAGAAAACCACAAGATATATCAACGCCGGCTGGTGGGTACCTGGAAGAGCCTCACAAGCCGCGCCTATTCTCGCTTTATTCAAGAAAGACAAATCTCTCCGTACCGTTGTCGACCTTCGGCAGCGTAATAATAATACAGTCAAGGATGTCACACCCTTCCCTGATCAGGATCAAATCCGGGATGACGTAGCACGAGCGCGGTATCGCACCAAGCTCGACATGTCAGATGCCTACGAACAGATCCGGATCGTGGAGAATGACGTGGATAAGACTGCCTTCGCTTCAATTCATGGGACGTTTTACAGCAGAGTCATGCAACAGGGCGACTGCAATGCACCATCTACATTCCAGTCACTAATGACTGCCGTATTTCGCGAACGTATTTCGATCTGCGTACATGTGTACCTTGACGACATCTTCATATATACCAACACCATTGAAGAACACGTCGAAGCGCTCCACTGGGTATTCAAGCAACTACGCAGGGAGCGACTGTTCCTTAGTCGGAAGAAGGTTGCTATACTCGCCATAACCATGGATTGCTTAGGGCATCAAATAGACAAGCATGGCCTGCACGCCGATCTAGACAAGATGGTCCGTGTGCGTGCTTGGCCAACGCCGAAGAACTACAACGAGGTTCAACAGTTCCTTGGCTTAGTGCAATACCTCGCACACTTCATGCCAGATGTGTCGTCATGGGCTGGCACGCTGTCCGCGATCACGCGTAATGGTCAGAAGTTCGAGTGGCGACCAGTGCATCAAGTAAGCTTCGAAAACATCAAGCACCTGGCCTGTAAGGTCCCCATATTACGCCCAATAGACCCAGGTGAACCGAACCCGATCTGGGTGATCACCGACGCCTCCACGACCGGCGTGGGTGCCGTGTATGGCCAAGGACCAGAATGGCAGTCATGTCGCCCCGCGGGTTTTATGTCCAAAAAGTTCACTGTGGCGCAACATTCGTACTTCACATTCGAAACAGAAGCACTGGCGGTCGTCAAGGCACTTATGCGCTGGCACGACAAATTGATCGGCCGAAAATTCAAGATCATAACCGATCACAGAGCACTACTGTTTCTCAACTCTGCATCGTCACTACCACCTCGGATCGCACGATGGGCGGAATTCCTGTCCAGATTCGACTTCGAAGTTGTGCACGTACCTGGCGAAACGAACCGTGTGGCGGACGCACTGTCCCGCATGTTCGCAAGCGAAGGGGACAATACTGACCGACCGGCGTACGACTTCGTCGCGGCAGACCTCCGCCTGGACCCCACGGGCGAGACATTGCCCGAAGCACGAATGCTAGAAATCCGTGCGGGACGAGTATTGGACACGAAGGAGCCCCGCGTCTCGCAAGCGCAGGATATGGAAGCCGCAGCAGACGTGAATGTGCCGGCACCTGCAGCACGTATGACAGACGACCCGACCGCTATCGCGTCCTGGGCGGACCAAGATGCCCAAGTAGCTCTACTGCAGGGACAATTCGATGTTGTGAACAGCATCAAAACAGGGTACGCGAAGGATAAGTTCGCGCAGAAGATATTGGACGCACCAACAGACCACGAGAGATTCTGTGTCAAGCACGGCGTGATCTATCACGTTTTGAAGTCCGGGGAACAAGTCGCATTGGTCCCAGACGTCAAGATCGGTGGGCGTCGTCTGACAGAACGCATCCTCGACGCGGTACACCAGCAAATCGGACACCTCGGACTCCGTCGAACAAGCGACTACGTCCGGCGTCTGTACTGGTGGCCGACCGTGGGCCACGAAATAGCGAAGTTCTGCAGTAGCTGCCCTACCTGCCAAATGACGAAGTCCTCGACACAACGTCCTGCCAGACTCCTCCACAGTCTGCCTGTGCCGAACCGGCCATGGCAGAGCATAGCGATGGACTTCGCAGGCCCGTTCCCATCTAGTGACGATTTCGACTACCTCTGGGTAGTTATCGACCGGTTTACTTCGTTGCTGCACCTGGTTCCACTGAAGACTACCACTCGAGCCAGTGAACTGGCTGGACTATTCCTGAAGGAGATCGTGCGCCTGCATGGTCTACCGGAGTCAATCGTGTCCGATAGAGATCCCAAGTTTATCTCGAAATTCTGGCAGGAACTGCATCGGTTAATGGGCAGCAAGCTCCTAATGTCAACGGCGTATCATCCCCAAACCGATGGCGCCTCCGAGCGTGCTGTCCAGACAACGTCGCAGATCCTACGAACGCTTGTCCGGCCCGATCAACGAGACTGGGTGGAAAAACTCCCATTCGTTGAGTTTGCAATCAACTCTAGCCGCAACGCATCGTTGAGATTCGCGCCGTTCGAGCTCACGTACGGATACCTACCACGCATGATTCGGGAAGCGAACCCAGACCCGACCATGCCGGGCGTACGGGCATTCGCGGACAGAGCGATCGAGATGCTACGTGAAGCGCATGACGCGATCATAGCGAGCCGTGTGGCCCACACCACACATGCGAACCGAACACGAAGGGAGGAAAACCCAGGGAACGATACTGCTGTATTTGCTGTAGGCAAACTAGCGTACATATCGACGGAGAACTTGCGCCTCCCCAAGCAGCGCGCGCACAAGCTGTTACCCAAGTTTGTCGGGCCGTTTGAGATCATCGAGGCGCACCCGGAAAAGTCAACCTACACCCTACGACTGCCCCCAGACCTACAACGGCGGCGGATCCACGCGAAGTTCCACGTGTCCCGGCTGCGACCCCACGAACCGAATGACGAGTCCATGTTCCCTCGCCGCGATGCGCGGGTATTCTACGATTTTGGGGAAGATCCCGACAATGAGTACTTTGTCGATGACGTGCTGGCACACGAATGGCGCGGCGCGTCAGTATACTTTCTCGTGCAATGGACGAGCGGGGAGCCTACCTGGCTACCCTACAGCGAAGTAAAGGACCTCGAGGCACTCAGCCGCTACTACGAGTTACTGGGGATCAAGCATTGGCGATCTCTACCCCGGGGCGCCCGAGCCGGTCAGGTGATCGTGCCGGATCACGCTACAGCAGCCGCGTCACGGGGTAATATGCTTGAGGATCAGGTTCAAGCAGAGGCAGACCATCCGGTGCATGTAGTGGGTACAATGAATTCGGTAGATCACGAAACAGCGGAGCTTGGCCGCGGGCATCGACGCAAGCGGCCGAGCCGCAGAATGCTTGAGGCGTGGGAACATGCCCCCTGAGCAGACCCCGCGATCAGGAGCACACCGAGACCCAAGCAGGATGACGCCGTGACACATAAGGCGGTGTCCTTCTTCTCAAACCGCGCTCGCCCACCACCCCACCGTGCCCCGTTCTCTTCACTTTGCTACCCGACGCGAGCCCCATTGCTTTCTTGTTCCTTATTCAACAGCCTTATTCTGCACTACACTGCGCCCAACTGCCCGCAACATGCCCGAACGTACGCATGCCCCGATGATGACTACGGGGTTCTGCCCTGCACCTGACACAGCTACCGCCCCCACGCCTGCAGCGCTTCCAAACACGCTCGCCGGGCCTCAAGTAGACGACATAGGCGGTAACGCCACTACTCGGGACGACACGATGATGGGCTGCGACACGGGGGACGTCCTCACGCACGGGACGCCGGAGGCCCTCCAGGGAGCTGCGCTTGAACGCCTGTTCGTTAAGTGCCTTCCGGCGCAAGTCTATCCCTGGATCTATGCACCGAGGACGGACGCCCTGCTCCACGAGGACGGGTGTGATGGTTGCGATTGGTACGAAGGCCATCTCAAGTGTGCACGATTCTACAACATCCCCTCCTTCGTACAAGCAGAGGCCGAACGGCGCTCCATGTGCTGCACCAAATCCTATCAAGATGGCCGTGCAGATGGCATGGCCGAGCTCCACACGTATGTGACGCCCCCGCTCTGCGACGTCGAAGAGTCCTTGCGAGCCAAGATCCGCCGGCTGGAGGCGTCGGAGCGTGATCTACGCTTCCTGCTTGCCAAACTGAAGCCAGTGCTGCCAGGCCATGCGGTGGGACTGCTCGAGGAGTACGATACCGACCCAGGTGTCAGGATTGGCGTCGACGCGGCCCTCGCAGCGCGGGATCCGACCGCGGAGCTTGCGGACCTCTACTACGACATTCTCAACGAACACCGCACCAACAAGCGAGGCGCAGCATCGCGCGATCTGGCAGCACAGTGCAGCGCGATCAAGGATATCCTCAACGCAAACGCGCCGCGGTCTGACTCTAGAATGGAGCCCCGTACGGGAGACCTCCTGCCGCCGCCGCGTTCGGAACCACGGGAGATGGTGTCCAAGGCGCCGGACGTGCCATCCGGTCCACGACCGCTCCCCGAGGAAGATGTCGAGATGGCCGAAGCACACTACCACCGCGCTGCGTCCCAACCGGCGCGGTCCACTCGGAAGCAACCATCAAAGCTGAGCAAACAGGAACAGGTGCTCGACGAAATTATCGACCGCTACGACACAGCGCACGAAGAACCTCAACGCGGTCGCACCCCGGTGCCGCGCACGCAGGCCACTCCCTCGCAGACCCATGCACCCCCGCCGCGCGGCCGCACGCCCCCACCGCGCGCTCGTACGCCACCCGCGCCGCGCGGCCGCACACCTGCAGCTCGCCCGCGTACGCCGCCTCCACGTCCACGGCATCGTCGCCCTCGCTCGCAGGGACGACCACCACGTGGAGAGACCTACGTTGCCTCGGGACATCGCACTGGCAATAACGGCTCCAATGGAGGCCCAAGCACCGCACAAGAGGCGTCGCCAGTGGGACGCGGAAGGCAGGATGAGCGCGTGTCACCCACGTGCCGTCCGCGCTCCTACGACCGCAACAGCCGACCTCAGGACTCGTTCAGACCGAGGACGCTGTCGAGGGGGGGAGGGGGCCCGCCACCGCCAAACGCGGCAGCAAGCACGGGCACCACCCAGAACATCCCCGCCAAACGTAGGATCGAAGACTCCATCCACGCAGACGTGAAGCGTCCCAAGACCAACGATGCCCAGCCGCAAATGACGCCAGTCAACGTCCCAACACTCAGCGATGGACTGAAGGTGTGGATGGACTACTGGGAAACAAAGCCATCGCAACCCCGTGGTGTACGTCGCATCGCCAAAGGCAACGTGAAGATCAACCCATTCACGATGTCCGGACACATCTGGACGCAGATTATGTCACGCAAGTACATGCTCACTCACCATGGAACACGGACACCGTTCCTCGAGTCACTGGCGCAAGTCCTAAGCGACGAAAGACGTGCGATCAAGAAGCAGCTCCGCAAAGGTACAGTACAAGAGTACCCGAAGATCTGCGAGTGGCCGAATAACGAGCTGGCCGACTTCGATACTGTCGTACGCGTGTGTCAAGACTCGCGGCTGACAAAAGCCGATCTCACCAGTGTACTGTGCATCTGGGCCCGCGCATTCCTCCAGGAGGACGACTCGGACCCGGACGAGGATGAGCCTGCTCGCGCGGCACCTCACAGTAGCAGTAAGGATCAGTCAGCCGCCGCGATGGAGGAGAACCACCCCATGGACGCTGCCAACTCATTGGCTCGCGACGCAGCACCCTTCGCGTACGGAGCATCCCCTGCCACGCACGACAGCTCCGTCACGAGAGGCGAACTTTCCGCGGCCTCAGCGTCAGGAGGAGCTAGGAACGGACAAGAACGGCGCGGCACACCCCATCCCGGCTACCCACAGCGCGCGGCCCGCTCTCCCAACATCGCTCGAGATGAGGAGATGGCCAACGCGTCGGACGAGTAGTCCGCACAAGTTTGCCAGCTCGCCCCGCGCTCCGCTCTCCTACGCGTGCTACTCCATCGGGCTCACCCACGGGCGCTCAACCCTCCGCACCTGTACCACGCACTCAAGATCCACGCAGAAGTATCTAATCGCACTGGTCTTCGGCTCAAGCTCGCTACGCAGTCGCGTCAGACCCGGGATTCGCCCTAGAGGGGGAGGATGTCAGGACGGAGATCGGATAGACGCCAGGTCGTGGCGGCACACGCGGCACGACCCACATGGACATCTCCATTGCGTTGTAGTGGCGCACTATGGTTACACGTTTCATGCTACAGTATATATTACAGCTGGTGTCGCCTGAGGACACCAGCTCAACTCTACTTTGTACCCCACACTACCTTGATTATTCACTTGGTTCAGTGTCTCGTACAGCCCGAGCTCACCAACACCCTTACACTATGCCTTTCTCCCTCATCGATATCCTCCGCATCATTGTCACTCACTCCCTTCCCCCGATCTCCTCAACCCCGAGCCTTTGCCATAGGCGCTCGGCATCGAAAGACGACGAGCTTGCCGCGCGTACTTGACCTCATCCTCGTTGCTCTCCGCCATCGTCCTTCGCACGCGAACACTGTGCGCCTATTGGACGTCGTTACTTTGCAAGTCACGGTCGTGCTCGCGCGCTGCGCTCCTTCGCATCGTCTCCTCCTCCGACTCAATTCCTGACTCACATTCCTTCCGCTCGACCTTCGCACACCCTTCGACTTCACCTACTCGCTCAGCCGTCCCAGTTGGTTCCTTCGCTGCAACATCTGATCATCGCCGCCACTGGTCTTAAGCACCATTTCCATCCGATCAGGGAGGCAGGAGCTGCCGAAAGCAGTCCGCAATCGGGAGACATCGTATTTGGTCGATTTCTTCAAGTACGCTTTTCATTTGTCCTTCAGCGTTCTCCCCTCCTCTGTCCCTTCCTATCACGTCCGTTACACCCACGTCGTTACCGTTGCGTCGCTGCCATTCTGCACCCTCGAAGCCGCTATCGCGCACCTTTCGTTTCCCCGTCCCGTTCTCCCTCCACCCCACATCGCGCGGCCGCGCTCCGTCCTCGCGCGCGCGGCCTGCCGCTCAATCGGACCGCGATTGTTCACTCGCGCTCGCGTCTCATCGTCTCGCACTCGCAGTCCTGTTCTCCCTCTATCCCCTCCTTTCCATTCCCTCACTGCCGTTTTCCCACTTCGTTACCTTCACCTCCTGCCTTGCCACGCTATCTTGCCATTGTTTTCCTCATTGTCTTGAGAATTTTTTCGAGCCTATACTGTCGTTCCCTTGAAGAGGGGATGGTGTCATGGGCTTGGCTATACTTCATTGCATTACTCATTCTCGCCGCGCCCATGACAGTGTCGTAGTATTGGAGCTCCACTTCTCCTATCTACAGTAGTACTTAGTCTCCGCATTCGCATTGTCTTACGCTAGCGAGCAACACAGCTCTTTCCCCCGTTTCGCCCTTCCGCTCCGCGCGCGACCGTCACAAACGGGAAGAGCCGAAGACGTAATACGCAGGCGCTCAGGGAGCTTATCAACCCGACTGTCAATCACGCTTCCCCATCCCCATCACCACCTACCACGTTATGCATCAGGAAAACCCCAAAATGCGAATTCGCACTAATGGTGCTAATTTAGCTGATTATCAGCCATTAGCGCGGATTATCGATTAGTGTCTAATTAGATCGGTCCCCTGCGAATTCGCACCATTAGACAGAATAGTTCAACAATTAGCCATACACTACTCTGGGGAGTTGGGCATGAGTAGATGTGTTAGAGACACAGTTAGGCGGGGTTTAGCAACCATAAGCACAATTAGACACAGATAGGCACACTTTAGAGATGATAATCACACGACTAGTCACACATTCGGAGGGCTCAAAGCAGATATATTTAAATGCAGGGACACAAGTACTATGCTACGGTGACGCGGGCGCGACGGGCGAGGTGGGCAAAGTGCCACACGGGGACGAGACGTGGGTGAACAAAGATGAGGTGAGGGCAGACGGACAACGCACAGGACGATGCAGCGCGAGCGACGAGGGGGTGAACGTGGGTGATGTGGGGGCAAGACACAGCCAACGTGAGGGCGAACGCGGGCAAGATAGGCGATGCAAGCGATATGGGGAAGGGATGACGTCGACGCGGGGGTTAGACAGGCTAAGGCGAGCGACGCTGACCAGGTGACGATGCTGACGCGAGGCATGCGAGGTGAGATAGTTCCCATAGTTCCACATGTCTATTCACTGCCTTGTATTCCCTTATCTCTTCCATTCCGTTCTTCTACGCTTCTCTCTTTGTTCCCTTGTTCTACTTTCGGACTCTCTTTTGTCTTGAGCGCACAGCCCGTACAGCCTCGTATCCATCTTCTGTCCGGTCTGACCTCTGCGCCACTTATGTCCTCCATCATTCGCTTACGTATGGAGCTCCTGAACTAGATATAAGGAGGACTCTGGCTCGCACTGCTCTTCAGTCGTTCTATCACTGACTGAGGAGTAAGTACCCCACTCTATGCGCTCCTTTATACATATGCTTACTGTATCTGTAGTCACTCCCCTTTGTGTGCTTACAGGTACTACTTATGCCCTCAATAGAGTTGTTCTATCACTGACTGAGGATCGCTCCTCTTTGTGTGCTTACAGTCGGTCCCTTGCCTTACTCAGAGTTCATCACACCTATTGAGGCTTCCGAGCAGCCAATCAGTCGGGATGACCAACTGCGCGGATAGAGTTGTTGGCCGGGAGCGGGGTAGTGTTCTCAGAGTGTGGTACTCGAGCTCAACAGACCCAGGAAGACTGCGATACGCCTAGAACCGTATAGTTCTGGCAGGTATGCAGGGTAGGGGAAGAGCAGGGTGAGTGGCACAGGGTGGGGGACGATGCTTGCACGAGTGGGGGCGATCCGATGCTTTGATTGTTATGGCCTGCTCCGCCTGTCTGGTTACGAGCTTCAGCGCGCGCCTGCTACGGACACTTAGCATACGATCGCCCGCCACCATTACCTTTATATACCGTTCCCGCACCTACCGTCTCGCCACGCGATTGCCTCCTGGCTCCTCCCCGTCGCCTCTCCTTCCCGTCTCCCCGCTACCGCGAGCCTCTCCGAGGTCAAGCGCGTCCTCTAATCTGATCCCGCCTTTCCGCTCGTCTCCGACTCGCCCAACCTCCGCGCTCCCGCGCTCCGCGACCGTAACATTGATGCCAGCACTCACTGGTTAGATCTTGACCTAATGACGCGGGAGCGGGCCGCGAACGCCAATCGGAGGAGAGGGAGGGGTGGATGGGTAAAGATGGAGGTTGGATGACCTTGATGTAGTGGTGCAGAGGTGTCGCCGGCACTAGGTGCAAAGCAGACGCAAACTAGAGTCACACGAGGGATGTCTAGCCCACAAAGACCAAGTTAACATAGCTCTACAGACATACAGGCAATCTAGATACTCACCTAGCCCACAAAGACCAAGAGGTCGAGATGAGGGCTAGGACACGAAGTGCAAGTGCTAAGAGAGTCCGCGATATGGGCGCTTAAGCGCGGGAACAACCTTCCAATATAGTAACAGGCAGAGAAAAGGCAAAGAAAAGGCGAAAAATAATACATAGGGCGAGTCCAGAGTCCGTTCCACGACAATGTGCTTGCCCACCTCCGCTCCTCCACTAATGCCCTTCACCCTGATAGTCTCCATAGATGAGATGAGTTCCTTGAATCGCAGATGGATGCTTCGTGGGCACCACCTACGTCTTGGGGTGGCTTGAGGTGGCAGAGGGGGATGAGATTGTCGCCCATGGCCACTGGGTCCCAACCTGCCGTGCGATGTGTCACCTCAGCCGTTGAGAATGCAGGAAAGCGTCATAACATGCGCCTGATGTGCTCGTCAAAGTTCTACAGCTGTCGGGGGGATCTAGGGAGGGAGAGGGTCAGAATAAACACACTCGTCTCGCTGCTAGCAATTTTTGATTTAATTTCCCTTTTTCGCGACGGCATTCAGCGCTCGTAGTGTTGCGGAGACTCGACTCAAGTCAACTCAGAGTCAGAGTCAAGCGCTACGGTGGGGTCAACCCTCAACCAGTCGTCTACTGGCGACTGTAACAACCGCCAACTAGCGTTGGGGCTGGGTTGGTGTGGAGGAGATGCAGGATGGCCCAGGTGGGCAGCCGTGGCGTAGAAGCCGGAGAGACAAATGGGAAGGGGAAAGGAAGTCGGATGACGAGTAGGGGTGTGGGGAGCCCTGGTTCGTCTGGTTGGCGGGAGCAACAGCGACCAACTCTTGAGACGACAGACAGCCGACAGCGACGGGGACCCAAAGGAGCACAGGTGATTTCCCTGGTGCATCCGTTGCGATAGCCTATCAGCAGCTACGGATGCATCTGGACGGATCTGGCGATCCATGATGCGCGCCCGTGGAGATGCGCCTCGGTGGGCGGCAAGGACACGTGGCTGTGATGCACGCCACGCGTCCCTCCCGCCGTCTTTGCTCTCCTCCCCGCCTCCTCTTCCTCCTCCTGCTCCGCCTCCACCGTCCAGGCAGACAATAGCGACTATACAGTCGTCCTTCGTCTGCTATTGGACTCCGGTGTCACCTGGTGACACCGTTCAACTCCCCTCATCCTCCTCCCTCAACCTCAACCTCAACCTCCATGCTGTCCTTCGCCCACTTTGCCGGCCGCGTCCACACAGGTCCACACCGCACGAGGACGTCCATCCGGACGTCCTCAGCATGGAGATTAGAATTAGGGGGTCGCGGCGATGTACCGCGGCCCTTGTTTTGGTGAGTCCCCCGCTCTGCCCTCCTGCACTCCCAATGCCCACCTCTCCTCTCCGGCTTCGCCCATCCGGCCTGCCGCCAGCCTTGACCTCCGTGTCTACCTCGCCCACCTCGCCGCTGCCCTCCTCCCCGTTGCCCACCTCCGCGCTGCTCTCCGCCCACCTTCGCGCTGCCCGCCTGCGCCCGCACATCCTCCTCCGCCTCCCGCACCTCCATGTCG